CCTTATCTCTCCCAATCTCACCTTCGTTTGTCTCCACGTGCCCAGGCTCCTCCTGCCCGGCTGGTGCCACCTGACAGTTGAAGACGGGCCCCGGGAGATCCTGATCAAGGAAGGGGCCCCCTCGCTTCTGTGCAAGTATTTCCTGCAGCAGTGGGAGCTCACGTCCCCTGGCCACGACACCTCGGTGCTGCCGGACAGTGTGGAGATCGGCCTGCAGACCTGTTGTCACATCTTCCTCAACCTGGTGGTCACCGCGCCAGGCCTGATCAAGTGAGGGGCTCAGGAGAGGCTGGGAGGAGAGCCAAGGAAGCCAGGGGGACTGCCCAGCCACCCCTTCTCAACTGTCTGCTTAGTTTCCCTGTAGCTGTAGGTTTCTCTTCGTTAGTATAAGTGCATTTCAGAATAGACCGAGCCAGTACCCCAGAGCTCTCAGGGCATGCCTGTCGGCTCCAGCCATTGCTCAGCGCAGCTAGGTGGCATCTGACCAACCCAGATGGCAGGATTGCAAGTCGAAAAGTTAACACTTCTCTCTGCCGCATGAAGGCCTGGCAAGCTCTGGCCCAGTGAAGCTAGAGACCTCAGATGTCAGGTTTTCCGAAGGGCTGGACAGGGCCGCCTAACCCTCCGCCTGCCCCTCTCTCCTCTCCTTTTCTCCCCAGGCGTGATGCCTGCTTCACATCTCTTATGAACACCCTCATGACGTCGCTGCCCTCGCTAGTGCAGCAACAAGGGAGACTGCTTCTAGCTGCCAATGTGGCCACCTTGGGCCTCCTGATGGCCCGGCTTCTTAGCACCTCTCCAGGTAAGCCTTGGGGACAGAACATGTGAGTGGATTCACTGTGTTCAGAACCTAAGCCCTCACTTTCAGAACATGGTTTAGCAGAATTTTCCCATTGAGAGGCAGTTTCTACAGTAGCTCCCCATCCTCCACCCCACCCTTCCCAAAATGATAATAGTCTCTTCCTTTTAAAGACTTTTAAGGCAAGGCCTGGTGGGTGTTTGGTACAAACCTGTTCAGAGGCACACGCATAGGCACCTGGAATCCCTGGCAGCCTGGGAACGCTGAATCCCGTGTCTTCAAGGTGGAGCTGCCCCCACCTAGGCCCTGAGTCACAGACCCGGTTTGCTGCATTGAGATTTTTACCACTTAGCACCCCACCCCACTCAGTGATACGCATCGCCACTACCCTTTGCACAACTTCTCCCAACCCTACCTACCCCTGGCTGTGTGCAGGGGGAAGGGCGTCCCCTCCAGCCCCTGACAGCCCTCAGTGTCTCCCACTTTGACCGTGGGTGTCTGCTTGGGTCCCTCTGTCCCCGCCTGTTCTCTGTGCCCCATCTGTCAGGTTGGAGGAACAGAGCAGATGCCTGGGAACAGGGTGTAATGTGCCCATACCCTCAGCTGCCTGTTTTCTGTGTGGGGATCCCAGCAGGGTACCCTGCCGTGGAAGGGGAAACATATCTCTGAACTAGGAACCCCTTGTATTTAGTCCCTAAGGAGAGTCACCATACTATGGATCCAATGCTGGCTCACCCACAAATGCTACTACATTAGTTGAGGGTCTCCTGAACCCCTGAGTGGCAGGTGGGCCAGAGCTGGGTCACTGCGCACCATCCCCTTTGGCGCCCTCTTCTGGCCAGATATCAAATTAGTTCATTCTCAGCCTGGTGAAGGGCTATGGGCCACCAGCTGCTTGGGTCCCTGCTGTGGAAACCTCAAGGAAGATTCTTTTTCACATCTGACATCAGGCTTACTCCTCCCTCTTGTGCTTTTAGAAGTCTTGATGATGAGTGTACCTAGATTATTTAGTTCTCACAACAAATTGCCAAGATTAGCGTGCTACTGGCCCCACCTTAAAATGAAGAGACTGAGGCCTAGAAAAATTTAAACACCCAGTGTCACACTCACTGTAAGTGTCAGAGGTAGGCTTTGAACCTGGGCAGTGTGACTCCAGGTGATGCTTCTGTTCTCTGAGCATGTCCACATGGGCAGGAGTGGGAGGCACTGGTCCCGTGCCTGTCTGGGTCACGCCACTGCTCTTTCCGTTCTTTCAGCTCTCCAGGGAACCCCAGCATCCCGAGGTTTCTTCGCAGCTGCCATCCTCTTTCTGTCACAGTCCCATGTGGCACGGGCCACCCCTGGCTCTGACCAGGCGGTGCTGACCCTGTCCCCTGACTATGAGGGCATCTGGGCTGACTTGCAAGAGCTCTGGTTCCTGGGCATGCAGGCGTTCACGGGTTGCGTGCCACTGCTGCCCTGGCTGGCCCCTGCCGCCCTGCGCTCCCGCTGGCCGCAGGAATTGCTACAACTGCTAGGTAGTGTCAGCCCCAACTCCGTCAAGCCCGAGATGGTGGCTGCCTACCAGGGTGTGCTGGTAGAATTGGCGCGGGCTAACCGGCTGTGCCGGGAGGCCATGAGGCTGCAAGCAGGTGAAGAAACAGCCAGCCATTACCGCATGGCTGCCTTGGAGCAGTGCCTGTCAGAGCCCTGAGGGGCATCCAGTAGGGATAGACCCAGGGGCGGGCAGCGAGGGAAGGAGGGAGGAGGCATCTTCCCTGAAGCCCCCAAACTGGACCCCTTCTTCAGACTTCCCCTACCAACACCCCAGCTTTCTGGCTTTTCTGAGGGCTAGGGCACGATGCCCACCTCTCAAGTATAAGGAACTGCATCCTGCCCCCAGCCCCCTTGGGGCAGGGATTGGCTTGGAACAGAGGTTGCCCCGCCAGGCCGGGGAAGGTTGGAGCAGCCCCCAGAAAGAGGGCAACTAAGTGTCATTATACCCAATGTCTGGCTCCCTGACAGGAGGGAGGTTCCAGGGTAGGAGCGGGCTGGCAGGCGCTGACTGCCTCAGCCTGTGTGCCCTGCCGGCCAGGGCGTGGTCTCCCCAAGGCTATGGTGCCCCTTCTGGCTCCCCAAGGTCCGCGCCCTTTAAAGTGGCCATTTGGTTCTTGCCTTTGGTCCTCTTGGACAGAGAGCAGGCTCAGGCCATTAACATCACAGTTCTTCCTTCAACTTCAGTGACCCAGGGTCCGAGTTGCCCCTGCCCTTCCAGGGCAGTTTGGAGCAGGCAGACCAGTGGGGGGGTGGGGGGGGATCTTCCTTCCACCTGTGCTTCCTCGAGGGGACCCAAGAGCCCTTGGTCCCGGGTCTCTTGAGCTTTTGTGTCATGTGGCAGCAGGGTGAAGATGGGGGTTGGGGGTTATTTATTTTGCTTGTCCTTATCCCTGCTTGGACACCTGAGCATCAGATCCCTGTGCCCCTGGTGCCATCTGGCCTGGCTGGAGCCGGGAACAGGAGGTTACACCACCCTAGAATCCGCATGTTTTCCCAGTGATTGCACTCCACTGCCACCGTGGTGCCTGGCTTCAGCTCCTCTACCCTAATCCCTGCTTAGACTCCTCTCTGCAGGGAGACGCGACTGGCGGCTCCAGCAGGAACTACCTTTCTGAACCCTTGGAGACCCGCACACACCCAACCCCTTGCTTCCCCCCTCCCCCCAGTGCGTTCTGTGATCGCCAAGTTCAAAGCTGTGCACATGTGGACACTCAATAAATGTTCATTGGTGATGAGAAGCCGCCTTTCTGGTCTGCCCTGCACCTACTCTGTGCCCTTCAGACTTAACATGCTCACCGCCACCTGCTGAGGGTGTGTCTTGAATACTTAGTAGATGTTCTCATTTATCTCCCCAGAAAGCACCATAGCTCTGGTTTTACATGCAAGGAAATCTTAGACACACTCTGCCCTCGTCCAACAGGTTCATAGACCCAGATGTTGATGTGGCTGGGCCCAGAAGCCCCGTCTCTTTGCAGCAACTTAGTTCCAGGGTCATTGCCATATTCCCCCAATTAAAAGAAAAAAGTGTTATTAGGGTATGTGTTTGGGGTGGGGTGCCTGTCCCATAGCACCCATGGAGGTCAAAGGACCTTGAAGTTCGTTCTTTCCACCTTTGTGTGGGTTCTGGGGACAGACGTTGAGTTGCCAAGCTTCTGTGGCAAGTACCTTTATTCACAGAACCATCTCACAGGCTGTGTTCCAACTTCTAAAGAAATCAGAAATCCTAATTTTTATTTGGAGTCCAACTCAAACATGAAAAACTTTTCAATTAAGTCACTACTGGCCCAACAAAACACAGAAGCCACATGTGACTTCCGGGCTGTCAGCTGTTGACCTGTGTTCCATGCCAAGTCAAGAAGGGCCTGAAAGGGCAGCGGGGAAGCCGGGTACCCTTTGCCGGTTCCACCTGGAGCCAGAACTGTCAGGTTGGAGCCCAGCCCGGAGAGCCCCAGATCTGTCCTGTATGTAGGCTCTCAAGCCTACACACATACACTCAGTACATCCTGTTGCTTATCTGTGGTTGGCTGTGCAAAGCAAGAATATCCATTGGAAAACTGGATTCTCAGATAAATAGAAGACAAACTAACCTGCGCACAAATGGCTTAATATCCAGAGACAGATAATGTAACAAATGTATTCACAATGACGTCTGTGGAGGTCAAAACAAAATGTGCCTGGAATCCCAAGCTTCCCCAGTCTCGATCGAGCAAGTCCAGAAAACGGAATACTGGCACTGTAGATCAGGCTGGCCTTGAACATACAGAGATCCACCTACCTCTGCCTCCAGAGTGCTGGGATTAAAGGTGTGTGCCACCACCATCAGGGGATACCCAGCAATTTAAATATGAAATCATGCTGAGGGAGAGGATAGATTGCAGATTTTGGAACAGATGAAATGGGATCCAGTTTGTATTTTAGAAAGATGGCTGCAAATGGAGCTGCTGGAGTTGGCGGGATGTGGTGCACGTCTAACCCCAGCAGTCTGGATGCTGGAAGCCACTTTGGGCAAGTGCAAGTCGAAGGGGTCGGGGAGGGAGCAAAGATGAGGAAACACGGAGGCAGGGGGAGCTCGATAGGAGGTATTAAATCTGAACTAAGTCAGTGGTAATGAGAATGTTGTATGTAAGACTTAGGAAATAGAACGTAGAAATTGTGAGTCAAGAGGACCATGGAACGGGAAACGGAAGATTCTTGACTCTGACCACTGTGTGAACTGTGGGATCACTCAGTCATGGGAAACACCGGGAGAGGAACAGACTTGTGAAGGAAGCTGTTCGGTAATGCTTTGTGTTGTTCACGGAACATCCAAACAGTAGTCACCTCCCCTGGCACAGAAAGAAGTCTGAGGGGATAACAGATTTGAGAGCTGACAGTAATATAGAGGTTCTTTAGAAACATGGGAATGACCCATTGGGGAAATGAGAAGGGCTGCAAAGCAAGTGATTTCTGCCCATGATCCTTGCCGCCAAGTTCCCCTCCTGCGTGCCAAATCCAGCCAAGCTTGGAAACACAAGTCAGAGTGAGTTCTGCCCGCCATGAGGCATGGTGAGAGGGTTCTGGGTAGGCAGGGGGCTAGGCTGAACCTTGCAAAGCAGTGTTTGCTCTGGTGCTGCCGCTAAGCGGGGGCAGGGCAGAGCCAAGCTGCAGTGGTAAACTCCAGCCACCAGATGGAGCCTCAGTATCTTGTGCCAGATTTCACATTCCAACAAACACTCCCAGACTGACCCGTTGGGAGGAGGAATGTGGCGCTGTCATCAACGGAGGCCAAAACTTTTCTTTTTTTTAAAAAAAAAAAAAGAAATGAAAAAAAAAAAAAAAAAGAGGAGAAGCCAGGCGGTGGTGGCACATGCCTTTAATCCCAACACTTGAAGGGCAGAGAACTCTGTGAGTTCCAATACAGCCAGGGATACAGTGAAACCCTGTCTAAAAGAGAGAAGGAGAGAGAGAGACAGAGACAGAGAGACAGAGACAGAGAGAGAGAGAGGAGAGGAAAAAGCGAGCCTTGGAAAAGAAATAAGTCAAGTATGTCAAATAAGAGTCCATATATATTTGAGTATGCATACTATGTGCTAATTATTAATAAGCTGTGTACATGTCTTATAAATGTGTTTGTGCCTGTTGTGTCCCCCCAAGCCTCCATCTGAGTACATGTACCTCAAAAAACAGTTCATAAGAAATTGTCACCTGCATGCTATACAAAGTGCAGAACCCTTGTCCCTGAAGCAGAAGGCACCTGATCTGAAACCCTGGTGGTGCACAGCTCTTCTGATCTGCGAAGAAGCAGAAGCAGATTGTAGAGCGTGCCTTTCCCCAGAAGAATTAAGCAAAATCGTCACTTGTCAGATGAACTTCCATGGGTAGCTACCCCGGGTCATTCATGTTTGGGGAGGGGGAGCCCTTCCAAAGAGTCCCTTAGTAGACCAGGGAACTTCTAACTATTCATTTACTTATTTATTTAATAGACATTTGTTGGCTGCCTGACATGTACCAAGGAACGTACTAGATACACCTTCCTCTTCTTTAACCTTTTTTTCTTCCCTGTTGGTTTTTCGAGACAAGGTTTCTCTGTGTAGCTTTGGAGCCTATCCTGGGACCACTCTGTAGGCCAGACTCACAGCGATCCACCTGCCTCTGCCTCCCATGTGCTGGGACTAAAGGTGTGCACCACCACCGCCCAGCTTAGACTTCTTTTCTTAAAGATTCATTTATTATTTTGTGTAGGTGGGTGTTTTGTCAGCATGTATGTCTGTGCATCACATGGGTGCAGTACTTGTGGAGGCCAGAAGAGGGTGTCAGCTCACCCAGAATTGGAGTTACAGATTGTTGTTCCTGCCATGTGGGTGCTGGGAATAGAACTTGGCTCCTCTGGAAGAGTCATCAGTGCTCTTAGCCATCTCTCCAGCCCCTCACTTGGACATGACTCACAGAGCAGGAAAGGAAAAGTAACCGCAAGTCCTAGAGTGCCAGTTAGCTAGTGTGTTTAGTTTCTGGAGTAGGAACGGGCATAGATCCCAGAAGCATTTTCAGTAGGGGAGGGACATGGTCCGGGGCATAAAGTCACTCAACAGAGTTGGAAATGGATCACAAGAGTGAGGAACTCAGGTCACCTGTTCGAGGTTTGTTGCCAGGGTCTACTCAGTGCAACCTAGGTCACTTTAGGTGGTTTTGTTTGTTTGTTTTTGCTTGTTCGAGACAGGGTTTCTCAGTATAGCCCTGGCTGTCCTAGAACTCACTCTGTAGACCAGGATGGCCTTGAACTCACAGAGATCCACCTTCCGAATGCTGGAATTAAAGCCATGTGCTACTGCCTGTTCACTTTAGGGATTATTAAAATAGATTCCTGGAGTATACTGCAGAGTTGCTGATTCAGTGGGTCTGAGGTAGAGTTCAAGAACTGACATTTCTAACAAGTCCCCAAACACAAGTCATTGGTGTTGATGAACAAGGTACCACACTTTGAGCCTTTTGTTTATGAAGAAGATAGGAAGAAAACTTAAAGTAATGAGAAAGGGGTGCCATGTGCTTTTTAAGATACCTGCTCAATGTCTTCCATGGTGAGCATTTACGGATTATAAGTAGAAACCCTCGGGCTTTAGTGTGGTGTTTCATGCCTGTAATCCCAGCACTTGCAGAAAGGCCGTGAGTTCTGGGCTAGCCTGAGCTACAGAGTGACACACTGTTTCATAGGCAAAAGTAAAAACAAACAAACAAATAAACAAAAACCTCAAGAAAACTGGTGAGCTTTAAAGTTGAAGAATGTGATGTCATTTATGACTTATGGTGCTGCAGAACCTAGGAGGCCGAGCGGGTGAGCCTGGGAGGGTGGAAGAGACGTGCGTTCAGCTTCAACTTGGAAACGTGGCTAATTGAAGCCTTCCTGATGCTGCGACCCTTTAACACAGTTCCTCGTGCTGTGGTGATCCCCTACCATAGAATTATGTTTGTTGCTACTTCATAACTGTAATTTTATAATTTTGCTACTGTTATGAGTCATAATGTAAACATGTGTTTTCAGATGGTTTTAGGAGACCCCTATGAAAGGGCTCAACTCCCCCACCGAAAGGGTCAGGACCCACAGATTGAGAACCGCTGTCCTAAGGGATCATCCTCTTGGCACCTGCATGTATGGTTTTGGATTTCTAATCTAACTGACAGACTGTGGAGGACACATGTGGGGGTAACAGAGAGGCAAAAGGTCATCAGACTTGGGAGGGGGTGAAGTTGCTTTTGAAGACCATAGACAGAGAGCCGATGAAATGGTTCAACAGGTAAAAGGCACGTGGTACCAAGCTTGATGACCTGAGTTCAATTCCCAGAACCCACACGATAAAAAGAGAGAACCAAACCCTTCAAGTTATCCTCTGACCTCCACATATATACATGTGCATGTGTGTGCACGCGTGTGCATGCATGCACACACAATTTAAAAATAATAAAGACAAGAAAAGATAGAAGCTGCTATGAACATGTACAACTGACATTAAGTGTAGGAATGATCGCCAGCACTCAGGAGGCAGAGGCAGGTGGATCTCTGTGAATTTGAGGCTAGCCTGGTCTACAGAGCGAGTTCCAGGACAACAACCAGGGCTATGCAGAGAAACTTTATTTAAAAAAAAAAAAACAGAAAAAGAAGAAAAAGAATGATGGGGGAGGTGAAGATGAAAGGGAAAACAGAGTTAAGAGGAGGTGGCAAAAAAGAGTGAGGGAAACCAGAGACAACCGGCCCATCCCAAACCTGTTGGAAGAGCAGAGGGCTTCCCCAGGCTGGGACCAGGCATCATCCTCATGGTTTCTGGGCTTTTCCCACAGAAGTCCACCAACTTGTGAGCTATGCACCGACATCTATCTCAGAGACTAATTTCAGATGTTTGTGAGTGAGGTAGAGAGTAGAGGACGGAGGAAGTTGCCATAGACTCACAGACATGAATAACACATATGCAAGCTCACACCAGATCTTAGCTCTGTCCTGAGGAGGAAGACTGCCCAGCTGCCCCATCCACCCTCCTAGCTCCTGGCTCTGGCCTCTGGAAAGCTCTTAGGGACGAATCCTTGGTTGCTAGCAAGGCTTCATCCTTTCCTCATAGCCTCCCACCCTTCCCCCTGCCAGGCTGAAAGAAACCCAATATGAGCTCTGTACTAGCCAGGTGCATTCTGGGATACTTACCTAGATCATACATCAGGCCGGTCAATATCTAACCTCTCAGTGGCCTTACACCTTTTCCTTATCTAGAAAGGAACATAAGAAAGCAACAGCTCCTCTCCACCATCCCTTCCTTTTTGCTGCAGCGGCAGAAACAGTTTGGAGAAGCCAGACTTGCCCAGAATTACACAGGCACTCAAGAGCAAGACTAAACTGTAAAGCCCTGAATCCGAGACAGAAAAGAATAATGATCCTGAGCCCGGAAGGAGGCTGGAGAAGGGCCACCTCATCATTGCGCTGAGCTGGCTGTTTGACCTTAGGACAGTAAGTCATCTAGCCTCTCTGTGCCTTGTCCCTCACCTGAAAATGAGGATGACAAGGGACTTGGTGTGGTAGGTAACTCAGTATTCACATTGTGTGGTGGATGTGCACGTGATTGTTTCTATTCCCCCGCCCCGTTTTTGACCTAAAAAAATCTTCCTTCTGCTTTTAAAATTCTCATTGTCCTTAGCGTTTCCCACTTGCCTTTCTGCTTTTCAGGACAGAAGGCTTGAATTTGGGGAGAAAAGTAGGCGAGTTGACGGTAGAGATTAGGACATGCTTGACAGACATTGCCTACCATGGTAACACACTCACACACAGACTGTGCACAAGTGTAACACGGCACCCCTTCCACCCAGTGTCAGTTACACACTCAACCATCTCTGTGTCACAGATTCACAGGCAGCCCAGGCTCCTGTGGCTTCAGAAATACTTTGGTCCCTTCTTAGGTGGAGCTCATACCAGACTCTGACTCTTTCTGGATAGGTCGTGTTTACAGTATCCAAAGATTCTGGCATGACGTTGAGGGTTACCATCTCAGGAAGTCAGAGAGAAACAGACACCTTCAGTGGTTTTGATCCAAAGCCATGAAGGAGAGACTGTAACCTAACCTCCTACACACATGCATGTTGACACAAGTGTGCACATGAACTGATAGGCTCGAGTTTGCAGCTCACCAGTGTCTTTCACATTCGCCATTGGGTGGTTGGTTGCAGAAAAGACGGCTACCATTTAACAGGGGAGGAAGCTCATGCCAGAAATGCATGAGCTTTGCTTAAAGTCGAACATGTGCATTTTTTATGCATTCACTTAAAAAGATTGGAAGGGGGTGGCGAGATAGTGTACTGGGTTAAGGCACTGGCCACCAAGCCTCAGGACCTGAGTTGGAACCTTTGAACCCACAGGGTGGAAGAAAAGAACCAATTACTGCAAGCTGTCCTCTGAGCTCCACAAGTGCACAGTGGCACACGCATGCCCCCCTCTCCACATACACACTAAATAAATGTAGTAAGCAAAAGTAGATAAAAATTGCACAGACCCGAGCGAGCATAGGCCCCTGCGTTGCATTCCAGCCTTCCATTTGATCGCAGCTGCAATCTTGGAGCCCAGAAAGAGCTTACATCAGAAGGGCTTCGAATTCATTCACTCCTCACCCCACCGGTTCCCACCAGAGCCACGCCTCCCTTTCGGAGGCCGCTGGGGAAAAGGATGAGGTAGGCCATAGCTTGTCCCTTTAATGCGCGCCCCCAGAGGCCCGGCGCGCCCCCGCCACTATAACTAGAGTGCATGGAGCGGGCTGAGCTCAGAGGGAGAAGGACGGGCTCTGGGCACCCGCTGATCGACTTTTTTCAAGTGCGATCAGCTCCCTTACGTTCCTCCTCTATGGACCCACCCGCGGGCACCCACCACTGAGGATCCCACACCCGCTGGGCTCCCCGACTGGGTTCCACCCAGGTACCAGACAGTGAACCCCGAGGGCTGTGAGGGCTCCGGGCTTGAGTTCTTGCAGTGCCGTCGGACGAGGGCTGTGTTGCTGCCACGCCTCACGCCCCACACTACCCTCCCCATGCTGGTGCACACTTACTCCGCCATGGTGAGTAGTCCCGGGCACACTCGGCGGTGAGTGGGGGATCGAGGAACCTGGGTGCTGGAACTTCCAAACCTCCTACCCCCTGCGTCAACGAAATCGCGAGGGAAGGGTGATGCAGGGCCTCTGCCAGGCTGAGAAAGTGGTGGCAGGAGCCCGAGGTCCCCAGCCTGGGAGTTCTGCCCGCAGGGCATTCACTCGTGGACAGCAGCAGGACCCTCGTGAGCTGAGGGGCACCTCGCGGGCTGGTGTCTTTTTATCCTCTAATGGCTCGCCTAACACACGCCTCTCCTGCAGGAGCGCCCCGACGGGCTTGGCGCAGCGGCTGGCGGGACCCGCCTGTCATCTCTGCCCCAGGCGGCCTACGGACCCGCGCCGCCACTGTGCCACACGCCCGCTGCCTCTGCCGCAGCGGACTTTCAGCCTCCTTACTTCCCGCCGCCCTACCC